CATTAAAAAGTCACAGCAGTGAAGACTTGACCATGCAACACTGAGGTCAGCGGGTTCTGGAGAACAGAGGAGGTGTGCACTGCCATGGGTACTTCACTGGGGCAGAGGAATATAAGAAAAATATGCCCCTTAATCTGAAACACCTACAGAGATCAAAACAGCACAGGAAGCACACACTCGGTGTTGAGTGGACACCCAATGAACACCACAGGAATTCAGGCATCAAGGGCTGTAAGTAGGAAGGCTTCTGCAGGAGGGACTTAGGTTGGCTTTGGAGAAACTAGGGCTTTGAGAAGGGGACTTCAGTGGGGAGGACTAACAGGCGGGAGGTATGGTAGCAAGGCAGGGGTGCGCGTGACCAGCAGCCACAAGACATGGTCTACAGAGGGTGTGCAAAGAAGGATGGCAGGAAAGTAGCGGTGCCAGATGACTTCTTGGCAGCTTGCTCTGTTCCAGAAGCTCTACTTTTACGGGTAACTTAATTCATTTGGATTCAGGATACATTAAGGTCACTGAGGAGCAGGGGAAGCACAATCCAACCTGCACTTTAGGTAAAGTCATCTGGTGGCTAGCTGCATCAGCAAGGGAGCAGATCAGAAGCTGCGAGGTGATTGAAGGGGCCATTGTAATAATCCAGGCCTGGAGGTGGGAGAAAGGACCTGTAATAGAGTGATGACAGTGGAAATGAGAGCAAGAAAAACATGACATTTAGAAAGAATTCATAGTATTTGGTGTCTGATTGAATGCTTAGGAAAGAGAAATGTCAAAAATCTGTAAGGTTAAAGTTTAGGTGACAGAATATTCTACGAAGTACAACCATTATTAGCTACAAGTAGAAAAATGGTTACAAGGTTAATAAAGCCTTTTCCTAGAGAGGGTAGGTATGCCAAATAAACTAGATCCTAACCAAGCACTGAGCTTTTGGAGAAAGAGACCTATCTCCAAAAGATGTCTCTTCTAGTCTTAAATACCACTAGGGAAGTAGATATTTTTGATCAAATGACACGAGATTTAGAAAATCTTTTTGTAGAGACTCATAGTGTGGAACATATGGGACATTCATACACTTCGTCTTGTCTCCAGCCATCCCATCTGTGAGGTAAATGAACCTAATTTTACACATTCTAAAGAAGAAAGATGACATCACCCTTTCTAATCTTTTCTTCCATCAGAAAATTCATTGTATCATTAATTCATTAGCAAGTTTCACATGCTAATCGTTCTGTGTAATGTCTTCTATATAGTTAAGTCATTCTAGCGTAATTAAAAATGGCCAAATGAAACTGGTCATTAAGAGTTGATTGGCTAAATCAGGTATAAATATATGCTCAAATGAGTAGTTTATTCCGACTTTGGGTAAACACCAGTCTCCAGGGGTTTAGTCTAGAGTCAATTTGAAGGACCTGAGTTTTGTTTTGTTTGTAAAGTCACAAGTGAGAAGTCATATTGTGGTAAGAAAAGATTGACAAGGTCATGTGTGCTACCCGCACACAGGAAAAGGCCAGGCGTCATAACAAGCAGGGGAGCTAGGTCTGATCAAGAATTCTTTAAGTATGCTGCACTAGTTATTTTTCTATAAATCACATAAAAATCAAAATGCACAGTTTACCACCTACAGAAAATAGGTAATCACCTTGAAAATTAAACTGCAATCCTTTGTCCAGAGTTCAACAAGCCAGGTTTTCTTAAAAGACCAGGGTTTTGTCTCCAAGGAGTCTTTTTAAAATTTTAAGGCCATTAGACAATTCCACCATTAGCAAATGGCCTGTTTTGTTTGTTGCTCAGACTATCTTCTTTGCATTTACTCCTGTCCTAAATAGTCTATGTCCCTTAGGACACCAGCAATGAGAATCAGGCACCAGTTACTGGCACACCCAGTTACTGGATCATTTGTTTCTCCCAAGGGTTTGAATTTCTTAAGTGTTCATTCTTGTAGTCTCTGTAAATAGGCTCTTGGAACCCCTGATTCTGCATCTTACGTTTTAGGGTGACAGGCTCCTGTGCAACTGCCAGAATGTGTGGATGCTCACAGTATGAGGGAGGTGGGTGGTCGGGGCCTTTCATGGTTTCCAGCATCAGAAACCCACTTCTGCTTGCTACTCCTTGCTCCTTGGTGTATGGGGGGGGGCCCACAAAATACAAAGCTATAGTGGAAAAAACTGGAAATAATCCCAAAGTCCTTCAATCAGTGAATGAACAAACTGTGGATACATCCACAAAATGGGTTATTACTCAGCAACAAAAACTAACCAACCTGAGGCAAAAGGATCGTCGGAGCCCAGCAGGTTGAGGCTGTGATGGCCGGGAGCGGCCACTGCGCTCCAGTCTGGGCGACAGAGTGAGACTCCAACTCAAAAAAAACCAACCAAACAAACAAAAAACTAACCAACTATTGATAATGCAGCAATGATACAGGGACCCACGAATGTCCCTCCATGTTGTCACAGCTTCTAGAGAAGAGCATACCGGGGATTCAAGTGCTCCTGCACATCCTTGAAAGTCCCCTTGTCTTCTATGCCCTCCCAGTCAGTAGTTTCAGGAGATCCTTGACTTCCCTGCAGACTGTACCCAAAGATGTAGATCCCTATTGACTCCCTTCCTTTGAACTATCTAGTATCAATCGTAAGTCTTGTGTTTTGCATAACTTTTGCAATGTGTGATGTCTTAGGCCTTGTAAACTTCCTTTATTCTGAATGTCACTATCTAAATGTAAAATGCAGCTGTAACTTAAGTTCTATACAATGCTCTGCTGGTCATGTGGCTAATGTACAGGTACCGACAACACTGGACTATAAAAGTTCATTGTGAGGCCTGAAGGGTGAGCAGAACCATTTTAGAAAGACCTCCAGTGTCTCTCTGCTCCCTAGATTTGAACTCAGGAATAATCTTCTACCAGTTCTCTGCCCCTTTGATATCAAGGGGAGCAGCCAAGCATTACTTGGTCCATAACAGCAACATAGATTAGTCTCCAATGTATTTTGCCAAGAAACCACACCCCAAGTACATTATTCGATCCTTTGTCTGACATTCCGGGAAAGGCAAAACTATAGGTACTGAGAACATATCAGCAGTTGTCAGAGGTCGGGGTGGAGGAGGGATTGGCTACATAGGGACAAGCATCAGAGAATTTTTTCAGACAATGGAGCTGTTCTGTATTCTGATTGTGGTGTTCGTTACATGACTCTGTGCATGTGTCAAAACTTAGAACCATACACCAAAGAAGCAAACCACTGTAGACGAACAGGAAATGTAAGCTAGTGGCTTTCCTTGGGGCGGGAGTAGTGACTGGGAGGAAGCTGAGAGGATCACCTTGGGTGCTGCTCATGCCCTAAGTTTTGAGCTTCATGCTAGTTATACAAAGTGATGTTGGTTTGTACAAATTTATTGAGGTATATGTCCACTTACATATATTATAGATTTTAGAGTTATGTTATACTTCAATAAAAAGCTGAAAGATAGTGGGAGAGAATCCCACTCTTTCTTCCCATATCTGTTTGCTATTACCACAGGTGAGACCACTAAATAAATCGTAGTGTGAAACTCTCCCTGGTCAGGTTTGGTACCTGTTTCCAAAAGTCTCAAACAATGTCAAGTATCCTAACCACCACATTGTTCACAATGCTGTCTGGCAGACAAGGATTTACTGTTTTGCTGGCTCTTAGGTAACCAACCACATTTGGGGGTGGGATGCAGAAAGACCTGTCGGTGAAGTAAGAAAGTATTAAGTTGTGACTATTCTTAAATTGAATGAAAGAGAAAAAATTATCAGTGTGATATAAGTAATTTTTTTTCACACGATTATCTTAGGCCTGTTTCTAGACTCTCAACAAATCTGGAGACTTGTTGGATCTACAACTACATAGAGACGAGCAGGGTTTTCCACTTCCATGTTTGAGACTGAGTTAGGGTGGGCCTTAATTCACATCTCTTGACAAAAAATAGAATCCTTCGAAGAGATGCAGCCAGGTATGGTGGCTCATACCTGTAATCCTAGCACTTTGGGAGGCTGAGGAGGGAGAACCACAAGTTTGGGTTTACACTGAGCCGATTGTGTTACTATGTTCCAGCTTGGATAGCAGAGCAAAAGCCTAATAAAAAATAATCAAAGAAACACAATTATAGAGACTGAAATGTAATTTTTTTTTTTTTTTAAAGTTGGAGTCTCACTCAGTCGCCCAGACTGGAGTGCAGTGGCTGTTCCCGGCCACCGCAGCCTCCACCTGCTGGGCTCCAGCGATCCTTCCACCTCAGCCTTTCAAGTAGCCGGAATTACAGGCATGCGCCACCACGCCTGGCTGATTTTTTGATTTATTGTAGAGATGAGGTCTCGCTGCCCAGGTGGGTCTCGAACCCACAGGCTCAGGCAATCTACTCATCTCAGCCTCCCAAAGGCGTGGGATTACAGGCTGAGCCACCGAGCCCGGCTCTGAAATGCAATTTAACTAAAGTCTGTCAAAGGAAATTTCTCAATAACTGATAAAGAAGAATGGACAATATTCTCTTAGTCTTATGCTACCAACCATAAACCCATCCCTAAGTCTGGGAAAGAACAGATATTGAATGGCAAGTATCAGATGGTAAGATTGGTGTTTTGTATACACTACTTTATCTAACCCTTACAACAATCCTGCAAGGTATTCAAATCCCATTTAAAATTTGGCAAAAGATGGCCAAGCGTGGTGACTCATGCCTGTAAACCCAGCACTATGGGAGGCCAAGGTGGGAGGACTGCTTGAGCCCAGGTGTTCCGAGACCAGTCTGGGCAACATAGCAAGATCCTGTCTCTACAAAAAGTAAAAAAAAAAAAAATTAGCCAGGTGCAGTGATATGTACCTGTAGTCCCAGCTACTCGGGAGGCCACAATGAGCTGTGACCGTGCCATTTCACTCCACCCTGGGAGACAGCGTGAAACCCACAACACACACACATACGGTAAAATTAAGGCTTAGGCTAGTTTAAGACGAGGTGGAAGTGGCTTCTGATTCTAACAGAAAAGGAAATTAGTTTGAGTAATTTTTTATTTGTAATCTTATTCTCAAGCTATCTCAATTTTACAGATAAGTAAACTAAGAGGGATGACGTGGCTTGCTCAAGGTTAGTTACATAACCAGTAAGTGGCAGAGTGGCTTTCAAATCCAGCTCTGATTCTGCAGCCCACATTCTTCACCATGAGAGTACACTGCTGCCAAAGTCACTGAGAGATGTACTGTGCAACTCTGGAGGGAGAGAAGCAAAATCTTTAACACTGGACTAAAACACAGATGAACTTACACTTGGGTCAGAAAAGTGACAACCATATTTTCCACCATATTATTCAAAATGCAAATTCCTCAGTGAAATAACATAAGCCTACTGATACTTTCTTTTAACCAGTAAATCAATCCTCCAGAGACTGAATAACTCAATTCAGCACATAGCATGAAGAAAAAGGAATCAGTATGGTAGGAAAATCATTTTCTAGGAGTCAGGAGTTAAAGGTTCTAATCTTGGCTCTGTTCCTGACTTGCAGTGTAACTGGTAAAGGCATGGAATCTCTGGACTTCTATTTCACCACAGGAAAGTTAAAAGTATTCAAGGCAGAGAATCTTGGAAGGTAACTACTGAAATACTTTAGAAAATAAATTCTTCTCATTATCAAAGTCCCTGAATTGCCATCTTTGGAGTTTAAACATTATGTGGTGTTTAGCAAGCATCTGCTAGCCACAGTGTATTTTGCTCGAATGAGCTGTAGAAAGCTTGCTTCCATCACCGATTAATGAGCCCTACATAGTCAAGAACAGGAAAGCAATCAAGCATGTGCAGCCACATTTAAGATGCATGTTTCTTTTGGCCAACTTAAGGCTATTAAAAGGCATATCAAAAAATGTGACATTACTTCATTAAACACCTAAAACTGTTTATTACTTCCTGTATGTTAGAATAGTGTACTTTCCTCCTAATGAATATGGTTTTAACTTTGTTTTTATAGAGGTTCTTTCTTTGTATGTCACTGTAACAGGGCTAGACTGACTTGTTTCCTAGAAATAGTCTTTTCAGCTGTGACGAGAATGTGTGGGTCAGCCTTTACCAATTGTGTGACTCTAGGGCAAGAACCTTCATTTAAGTTTCATTCCTTATTTGTAAATTGTTATCAAAATAACAATGTAAGTTACAGTGATTTACACAGTAGGGGCTGACAAATGAGACAGTATAGTATATTGGTAAAGAACATAGACTTGCAGTGAGAGACTTGGATACAAATACCAAGCACAGCTACTTACTAGCTAACCACAGTTAAGTGGTTCCATTTAAGCCTTATAGTGAAGCTAGTTACCACCACCTTCTTCTTTAAGGAAAAAAAAGTGGCAATATACTAAAGTGGCTATTGTGCAGCACTCAACAATTAGTAATTTCATTATTAACAATCCTATATAATCTAGAAAGCTGAACACAGGTTAGTGTTTTCTTACAAAAAGAAATCACTTAAGACACCCAGAAAGCAAGGTATATTGATTTTAACACATAAATGACATTCTTTTATAACTTCTTGATATTTTACAACATGTCACTAGTAAATGCTTTAAAAAGGGCTTATGCTGGGGGTCCTACTGTAAGGTGATTTCTGAAGATCTTGAGATTTTACAGTTTTCTTTTATTATTTTTATGTTTGGCAATCTACTGTATTTAGTGTAATAGCTGCAGTATGTATGTTTCAATGTGCTAAATAACATAGTTCCAAAACACAGATAAATCTTGATTAGGTTGCCTAATAGCTCTTGAATCAGTTTATAAATTACACGATGCCTTAAATTGTTCCAAGACAATGTTAGCTGGTAAAATAACTTGTTCTTTCAAAACTCAAGACACATTTAACATGTGGATTTTACAATAACATTTATTAGCTGTTCTCCTCTTCTTCATAAATGGAATGGATAATGTTGATAATTCTTACAAACCAGTACTTATTTCCTTAAGAAACTGTGATGAGGAGGTTGTCAAAAACACACATTTAATAAACAACTCCAAAGAGCAATGGGAAGTCAAATGATATTATTAATATAAAGGACCAGAGGAACTGATTTCTGAAGTCATTTCTATCTTTCACTAAAATTTCTTAAAATTGCTCATCATGAAGCCCTGTGCAACTCTAGTGCAGAGCAGTGGATGAAAAGTATTGAGGGGAAAACACACACGTAAATGAGGTTCTGCCTGTTTCCTATTAATAAAAGGAGAACTAGAAGGAAAGGCAGAAGACCAAAATCAAAATGAATGACAACAACGACAAAAACAAACAACCAGGAACCATTTGAATATTCTGTAGAAAAGAGGAGAATATGCCCATATTTTTACTTATAATATCTAATTTTCCTAAAGGTTTCTCCTCATAACCACCATACCCCCATTTTCAATTTATATGATTAAGGAAGATAAGTATATTCAATTAATATTTAATTTAAAAACCAAACAAAAAGTTAGGAGTAGGTGGCAAAAGAAAAAATATATTTTAAATATATATATGTGTGTGCGCAACTATGTAAAGAAAATAATTCCCATAGTTACAGAGTTTAGTTAAAGAAAGTTTTATATATATTTATATATATATATTTTATTATAACAAAATAGGCAGTTATTGTGGGTAAAATATTCATTAAAATCTGACCTCTAAGAATACATTTAAAGTTTTAGGCTACGAATTGGATTCCTTTTCCAATGTTTTAATGATTACTACATCACCATTGTAATGTCTGTTTTGTCTGTATTTATGACTATGACGTTTTCTCAATCTCCTGTGTAAAAGACAAGCTCCCTTAGCACCTAAACATGGCCTCAACTCAGAAAATGTGATGATCATTACGTGTGTAGACACTATAAATAGTGTTGCTCAAGTAGATTAAAAACATTTGCACATCGTAATTCCTAGCAAATACACTGGGAAAAAAAAACCTTTGAACAATGAAAGACTAAGAAGAATGCTTATGAAAAATGAATATCCCTTGTGAAATTATGAAAGTTAAGTGAGACATTAATTTTGAAATTAAAAAACATATTTTCCTTATTTGTTTATCATGAAATAATTGCACTGATAACAGAAATCAATTGAGAAAAGGACGTGAGAGCTAATACATTGGCCGAACCATGCTATTAAAGTTAAGCGTGCATAGTTGCTCAAAGTCTACTAAATCACTGATTAAAACCACTTTTTCATTTGTATTGAAATCTGAAAAGAATATATATAAAGCTTTTCTGAAAATCTCTTAAAGTTACTTTCCCTTAAACATTAAGGAATTTTACCACAATTTCTGCTTCTCCTCAAACCCTTAATAGCTGATCAGGCCATTCCATCTTCAGTTCTGAAAGATGGCCACAAACCAATAGTGACATGATAAAACATGATACAATTTGAAGGAGACACATGTCAAAAGTAAGCAAAACTGCTGTCCATGATGTGTGGGATATGACTCAACATGAAGGAAGGGTTAAAGACAGACTCTAGAAGGAAAGGGCAAAGAGTGTCAAAGAAAATGGGATTGTGGAAAAGAGAAATACAGAAACATCAGTTTTCATAACTTTTCTTTTGCTGGAACCCAGATGTAAGGACCAGACTGTTCTTCTATGATCTGCTTGACTTGGTTGTAAATGTCTTCCAGTGTATCTCCCTGTACAATAGCTGTAACGATAGAAACAAAATCAGAAATCTCCATTAATTGTCTATCTTTGCCATTATAACTACTGGTGAAATAGTAGAAGCGAAATCTTGGAAAACAGTTACTCATCCAGGAAGTCACCATTTAGGTGTTGTTTGCTTAGTAAAAACTGGTTATTTGGTTAATTTTCTTATTTGTATAATACAAAATTTTTCATTTTTAAAATTGATAAAAAATGCATTTTGGTGATTTTTTTCTTTTGTTCTTTTATCATCTGAGCATGTATTAGCTTTATTCTTTTGAAACAAATTATTTCCATAACTTTCCTGATTCCTCCATAAATATATATAGAAAAAAAGAAGAATGAGTACAGTATCACAGCCAGCCAGCATGGATACTTTTGTGTTTTATTTTATTTTGGGGGGTAAGATCTTGAGGGGGGAGAGCCGATTATAGATTGATATTACTCTCTTCAGTTGCTAGAGCAACAGATACTGAAGTGAAGGTGAACTGAGAGACATACTCTGGCTTACTAGTGGTTAGAGACTTTTAAAATCAATGTTAGGTAGTTTATTTGCTACCTGAAATAACGTGTGAATAAAAATATAGTCAAAATTACTAACAACTAATTCTTTGCAGATAGGTGAAACTCTGAGGTCTGTGAAGAATAAGTTAATAATAAAAACAAAACAAAACACACAGGCCGGGCTCAGTGGCTCAGCCTGTAACCCCAGCACTTTGGGAGGCCAAGGCGAGTGGACTGCCTGAGTCCGCGGGTCTGAGACCAGCCCAGGCAATTTGGCGAGACCTCATCTCTACAATCAATCAAAAATTAGCCACAATGGTAGTGCGTGCCTGTAGTTCCGGGCAACTTGGAAGGCTGGGGCAGAAGGATCGCTGGAGCCCAGCAGGTCAATGCTGTGGTGGCAGTCAATGTGCTACTGTACTCCAGTCTGGGCGACAGAGTGAGACACCAACTCAAAAAAAAAAAAAAGAAAA